CATTGAGCCCATATCCTCTCTGTCTGTTACATTACTCATTCAGACAAACAGAAGTATCCATCCATGGAGACTCAACACACACACACACACACACACACACACACACACACACACACACACACACACACACACACACACTGATCATTACCTTTCTGTCCTGTCACAGACACTTAGAGAAACACAAAGACGGAGACCTGAACCAAAATCCTGAGATGATTTTGCCGCCTGTCACCACTGTGTGTGTGTGTGTGTGTGTGTGTGTGTGTGTGTGTGTGTGTGTGTGTGTGTGTGTGTGTGTGTGTGTGTGTGTGTGTGTGTGTGTGTGTGTGTGTGTGTGTGTGTGTGTGTGTGTGTGTGTGTGTGCGTGCGTGCGTGCGTGCGTGCGTGCGTGCGTGCGTGCGTGTGCGTGTGTGTGCGTGTGTGTGTGTAGAGACCACATGCAAAGGGTTTCCACGGGCGACATCCAGAGGTTTTTAAATGGCTTTTCCAGCGCTGTCATCACAAAGACACACTTATACTCAAACAGCACTTTCCTTTTCTACGCTCAAAACGCAGTGATGGAGGTTTGGACACACAGAATATCGTCAAACATCACTTCAATCCAAACCGTTTTGTTCCACCTTGTGTACACATGCACGCAGTGATGCATCATAGCAACACAGGAAATCACTTTGCTATGGATTCAACACACATTTACCCCTCTTTCATGCAACAGTCTGTCTTTCCTCTAAAATCCGTCATCACTTTTCGACTCTATTCTCGCTCGTTTGCTGAAGCAGAACATATTGCGCTGCAGAGAATGTTATTCAGGCACAAACTAAATATCTACACATGAGTTTTTTAATAAAGCAGCGTACAAAATAAGGTTACAGCACTTTAAACTTTGTCAAGGGGTCTATTTTATGACCTCTCACTGGTTTATAAGAATCTTGTGATATCAAACCAAGCAAGGAAGTCACAGCCCCGCATAATTACACAACAAATGTAACATTATAGGGCACATCATTTCAGCCCAAAGGAAATACAGAAGTAGATCATTTATCAAAGTCCCACATTTTCACATTCATATCTGTATTATAATTTATAGATGTAGTTTCAGTAGCATAGTAGTGAGCCCAGGCTGCTCTGATTAGTCAGCTGGCCGGCTCTGTTGTAATTGGTCAACCATTTAGAGATGTCCCGCCCCTTAGCCTATCAGAAACAATGTGTTGGAGTGCTAGCCAATAGAACAGGGGTGTCAAACTCAATTTCATCGCGGGCCACATTAATTTTTTTTGTCATTTAATCGTTTATTTGACGAGGGACAGTGCACATTAGAATTATGGTTGCACTCAAAGGGCCGGTGGTAACTTTAAGACTATATAAATATACATAGATAAATATATGTAATAAATATAAAATAATGTATTATTTTACAATATTTCCTCTGCATTGGATTATTATCGGATAGGGTAATAACTTCATAATTAACTACGACTGAAAGCAGAAGTCTAGGGAAAATAATTGCAAGTCTCTTCATTGCGCATCTCACAAAATGAGATGCATTGTGGGATATGTAGTTTATGGGCAACGTGCTCCTGTAAAGCGGCACGTAACATTATAATACACTTATTATATTGTTTGCAAGCTCTTGTGGGCCACATAAAATGAAGTGGCGGGCCGGATTTGGCCCCCGGGCCTTGAGTTTGACACCCCTGCAATAGAAGATCAAGTGTTACATAGTGATGTCATTATGTTATGGAAGTAAATATAGAGGCGTTTCAGGCAGGGGGGAGTGTGTGGGAGAGAAACTGCCTCTGGAGGGAACACTGGGATTTTAGTCTTTGCAGACCATTTACATGCACTAAAACCTATATTACACACTACAGGAAAGGGAAACCCCAAAAAGCATAGGGCCCCTTTAATTATCTTTACGCAAGGACACTTCGACAAGTTGAATGCAGGGGGATTGGGATTGAACCACTGATCCTCTGGTTGGTAGACACCATTTGGTCCATCTCAGCGTCACATCCTCCCACAAAAGTACATATGTTACGTTACAAATGTGTCAAAGACTGTATTGGATTATTCCACATTGATTGTTTCTCCATGTTTGCTGGATCCGTAAATATGCTTCAATTTTATAAGGTACACATACAGTATCTTGTGATTTCAGCATGTTGCTGAAAGAATAAAATTGAATGAATGCAGGTTTAATGCAGGTATTAGAAACGTTAGGCAATTTAAAGGTCCCATTTCATGCTTTTCCAGTTATTACCCGTCCCCTTGTGTGTTATGAATGTTTTTATGCATGTAAACGGTCTGCAGAGTCAAAAACCCTCAAAGTACACCCTGTAGCGAGTAAAACTCTAACACAGAAAAGACCTGTCTATGCTGCCCCAGAACGCCTCGTTGGAGATTTCTCATTTTCCATTGTTTGCTTCCTGGGTTCTGTGACGTGTGAAAACCCAAATCAACAACAAATGACCGGATTGGCCCAAATGGACCAATCCGCGGAGCACCTCACACACCAGGATCCCTTGGCTACCTAACAGGGAGTCCCATTGACTTGCATAGAGCTCCCTGAACGCTGGTAATAGACGAGTTGGGATCGTGGAGAAATGCTCTCCGCAGACCCATTCTCACAGCGTTATAAACCTTTTTCTTACTCAATATCAAGCCACACTTATTGTTTCTACTTTGGCTGTGAGTGTTTGTGTGTGCTCAGGATGAGTTTCGCTTGTTCTCGCTGTATCGCCGACCCGGAAACCTGTCCGCTCCTCGCAGCAACGAGCCTCGCAACGAGCCTCGCAACGTCCCGACCAATCAGAGCACACTGGGCTCACAGGGAGGGGGGGGGGGGGGGGGGGCAGGAGCTCCAACAAGCCGTTTAGGACAGAGAGTGAATACACATACTATACAGAGATGCTGTATGAGAAACCAATGTGATTTTGGAAAATTGCACAATTTAAATATATTCTAGTAGACCTCAACAATGGAAATATGATCAGTAGAAATGGCCATGACATGGGACCTTTAAGTAACAAATACAAAAGAAAGAAGAAGAAACTTTACTTGAGTTTACTTGAAGATACCGTAAAATCTGATGTGCTAAAAAGACCAATCTGAACAAAGGTAAAGGGATGAAGAGAAACTGTGCAGTGTGTCAAATCCTGAACACAGCTTCCTTTTAACTCTTAAAGGAGTGGGGAAAGGAACATAAAGGCGTTTAAAACAACAATACCAACAGGTTGAGTGTATGCTAATGACGCCTTTATTCCACTTTAACATGGATTTAACAGATATGAGCTGTGAACGGGTGAATCACATTATGTCAGAACAGAGCGGAGCCTCACTTTAAACTGTTTAAAAACTCTGTGTGAATAATGTGTGAGGGCCCACTGTGTTATGTAAATGAACCTGAAAGGTATATTTACACTCGCACTGAAACCCCAGTCTCACACATTATAAATGTTCCTCATGAGTCGACTTTAAAGGCACTTTTTTCACCCCAAAGATAAACATGTTCCGAAGTTAAACGGAGACGTGATTGATTCAGACACACAGCGGCGCGGGGAGGGAACATTTTATCATGGTTTTAGGAGGGAATCAACAAACACTTTCACACATAACAACAGGAACAGATGCTGCCTTTACAGAGGGGAAGATTACACTCTTGTATTTTCACGCTAAAAGATATTTTAAAAAACAACAACTATGAGCTAAGAGTCAATTTCCCTGCTCTTTTCTTGTCTTTGTATTTTTCCTTTTTGCTCCTGTGAATGGATGTTTCAGAGGGAAATTATTCTTGTGTGTGTTTGACCTCGTCACTCGGAGCAGTGTGGTTGTTTCGCAGTAGATTAACACATGTTTTTACAGTTTTCCTCATCTGTACTCACTTCTGACCTGGAGCTCTTACAGGTAAGAGGATACAAGAAGGCTGGACTGCTCAGTTTTTGGTAAAAGAAAAGTGGTGGTAATATTTAAAAACCCACTTTAAATCTTCCAAGAACAATCTGTTTTAAATGTGCTATGGTCCAAAAGAAAGAAAATGAAATGAAATATTGGATTTTCTGTGTTGAAATCTCAAAAATAAAATAAAACGTGTTGTTTCCTCTGCCATGAAACCTGTTTTCAATTCTTGAGGTGATTTTGGGACTCAAAGCTGCAGCAGGGGGCATTTTAAAATCCCTTTTTTAAATAAGGAACAGGAACTCTCTACTAAATCCCTCATGAGAGAAAATAAGGTAGAGAAACAAACACACTAACAACACTGGCTTTTCTTGTCAGCAACCACACTCTCTATGATCAGCTTTGACCATATCCTTGCAATAAAAACATAATTGTTCTTGTCCCTGTGCCGACATCTGTCATTAATCTGTTATTTAAAAAAATTGCCTATATGTGACAAAATGTATATTATGTAATAGTTCATGTAACTGGAGAAATGTTCGTAAAAGCCTGCATGGTGGGACTGCATTGACTTTCTGCAGTAGTGTAATTAGAAGTCAAATCTGATGCTGAAAACTTTACTCCCGTAGAATATACATTTTAAAAGATTATATTTATATTTTATTCTGTGTCAGGGTTGGATCGTGTACATCTTTGACAGACTATCTACAGACCAAAGATAAAAAAAGATCCCTGCTCTGTGTGAGCTCCAGAGACATGGGAAGTGTCATGCTGCCTCCTAGTGGTTTCACACCAAAAATGCATCTTCAAATCTGCCAAATATATATAAAACATTACAGTACCTCAATAAAACCATCCTAATACAAACCATAATTCAGACTACAATACATTTAAGTGTGGAATACTAAGGCAAAATACAAATACCACTGCGTCTGAAGCTGCAGCCAAGTGAAAAGCATTTGTTAATGTGGTTTATTTATTTACATCCACCATTACAGTTATGTGCTTTTCTATTTCCATGTGAGTTAAATAATAGAGGCCCCTAGTTGCAAAAAATGACATATTGTGTGTGTTGAATGATACAAAAACCTGATCAATTAATAACGATATGTTTTTTAGTAGGTTTATTACAGTCATTTTTACAGGCAGTAAGTCCAGGCAAGTTTCTCCATTTAATAATCAACCTGGCTTTAGTACCATTTATACATATACGCGTTTATACACTATATACAGAGATAAAGGGGAGTAAAAGGGACGAGAACATTAACATATATACAATCCTAATGTTGTTTAGTACCAACTAGTTGGAGCAGTTTGGTCACAGAACAGACATTTGAAGTTTGATTCAGTGCCTCGAACATAAACACGTTATAGATTATGAAACACACAAGAGTTTATTTACAAATCCAGATCCAATATGGACCAACAGATCCAGTCAAAACATGCTTTTAGTTTGAAAACCTTTCAGTCACATGACACAAACCATATTCATCCTTTTTCTCGAGACCGACCGTAAAAACACAAACTACATATTAAAGTACGGCTAAACACGAGTGGATAGGAAAAGAAAAAAACAAAGCCTGACGTCCAGTGACTTTGTTAGAACCATGTTTGAGTATCAAATGTTAATTCACTCGTAAATGTGTAACTAAAACATATCAATATGTATACAGTGAAGAGAATAACTCGTAATTATTGTGATTGTTTTGTACATTCTTGAAGGATAATTGACGCTGAATGGAAACCTTAATATGTTGTGGACATTTGAAAATGATTAGTAATTAACTTTCATGATCAACTGTTCCCAAAAGAACAGGATTGAAATGCTATGCTCATTCTGTATGAGTGTATTTCTGCATAATTATTTTTACTTTTAAGACATACAAACTAATTATATATCTCCTCAATATAGGTTGCATTTATTTAAAGGCTGTAACAAGTTCAGCTAAAGAATGATTATTCCTTCTCTGATACTTAATTGTTCTGAAAATCATAAAAATAATTCAGAGATTAGGGGAATAACTGCTTATTGCTTTTACTCCTGAACCACAAGTCTACGAGATGCTATTATATAAAGAAAGAATAGTCCTTGGCTCTGAGTACACTTGTTGTTGACCGAGATATAAAAATGTAATGCTGTTTGACAGAAAAACGACAGAGAGCGGGACCTTTAAGATTAAATGTTAAAAGTTCAACATGTAATCGACTTAAAAGAGGTCAGAAAGTGACCCTAAAGTTGTCTGAGTGCTTTGTTCTTTAACTCGTATTAGCATCCATGTTACTGTATACACTGCGTACTGTACAAGCATCATCTCAGCAAGTGGCGTGTGTGAGACGATAGAGAGGAAATGTGTGTGTGTGCATATATCTGTGAGTGAGAGAGCATTAAGTAGACAGATTAAGACGAGAAGGGTATTAAAATTAACAACTGGAGCGCTGAACCCAATCACAACACGGCTGGTGAGTCATTAACCCCTCAACATCATGTACAGTGTGTGTGTGTGTGTGTGTGTGTGTGTGTGTGTGTGTGTGTGTGTGTGTGTCACTGGCAGGCAGGAGCGATGTCAGATCTTGAGTGATGCAGTCGACAGAGGGAAGGGCATTTTTCTAAAAGCGCTTAAAATGACAGAACACACATACACTCAAAACGAGGACACACACACACACACACACACACGTACACGCATACATACACTATCAGTGTTATCCTATGAATCACAGGCTGAGTACGCTGACATTAAGACTACAACAAGAGCAGCAGAATAAACACAAACATCAGAGGGAGAGCTGCGGTGTGTTTGCAGAGCGTCATCCCTCCTTCTTACTCCCCCAACTGAACAGTTTGGTAATCGGAGACTTCTTCTTTGGTTTGTCTTTCTTGACGTCTGTGAGAGAAAGACAGATTGGGGGGAGGACAGAGAGGACGGGAGGAAAGAGAGAATTGGAAAGAGAGGAAGAGACAGAGGAGGGGAGGATAGAGATGAGAGGAAGGTAGTAAAAAGATGACAGAGACAAACTTAACAGGTTAGGTCTGGTACATTTAAATCCATCATTTCTTTACTTGAAGACCATTAAAGTTCACAAAAATTATGAAAAATCTGATCCTATAAAATAGCTTAGATGTGCTATTCAATCTCTCCTGGTAAGGTATTCATATATTTTTGATGTTAATGAATCGTTACAAAATGTGAGTGAACGCGTGATAAAACAGGTTTAGTTAATCTTGTATACCCTCCTAAATGCAGTGAAATATCCTATCCCATATGTCATATAGGCCTAGTGTCATTCCTAGTGCTTAGTTCATTTGGTAACTAAGTTGAGTTACCGGTAAGTTAAAGGTGGGGTAGGTAATTTTGGAGAAACCGGCTCGAGTGCGCTACAATTTGAAAATACACAGCCGGAAAAAAATCTGCCACTTCCTTACAGAGCCCCTCCTCCAACACACACGAACGCGCACATGACCAATGAGGGCACGAGATAAGTCTGTGCACAGATGGAAGGCTGACAGGCAGGTAGGCCATCCAATCATTTTATCCGGGCCGGCTAAAATGATTGGTCGTGCTTTTTACAGTACTACGGCTTCCACAGATTACATTTTTTTATGTATTTTTTGTCAAAGCACTTAAGATATTCATTGCTATCGGGATGTTAAGAGCATTCCATGGAATATAACAAAAAGTGTATCTCGAGCCGGTTTCTCAAACTTACCTACCCTACCTTTAATAAAATAATTAAAAAAACAATAACAACTTTTATTTATTTCAATCAAAACGCCCAACTTTTTCCATTGACCGCAATGTAAAAAATCCAAATGTCCAACATTTGAGAAGCTGTAAACATTTAGTGTTTGGCATTTCTTCACCACACAATTCATTCACTAAATAATAGTTGAAGGCACTACTATGAGGTTAAAAAGAGTTGGAAAGAAGAAGGCCTTTAATGTTTATTCATTATATTGGATGAATATTAATAATGTTTGTTTACTTACTGGCCTAAGCCTCTTGTCAGTTGAGTATCAGTGGAGTAGCATTTACCTCTTAGTGATACAACGTGTGTGTAAACTCTCACGTGACTGAGTGGGAATGAACTGTGAAACTTGTGTGTTAACTTTCAGAATAAATTAAAAGGAAATGGCGATTATTTAGCCCACGGTCGGCGTTTACTCGCTGCAACAGAACGACCTCTCGCTGAAGTTCAATAAATCTCCTCAATTTCCCGCCCTGCTTTCACGGTCATGAATTGCAAATGAAGCCGGCGTTAACTTTATCCTGTCAGAGGGTCAAATTAACCGGCTGCTTCATCCATTTGTCTAATAGGAAGCGCCGCTGACAGAACGAGGGGGAGCGCTTTTGTTTGATGCTTTTTCCATTAGCAGTCATTAGATCAAATGAGATGAAAACATGGTCCGGTGGCAGCCTTAAAAAAAAACACACACACACACACACACACACAACACACACACACACACACACACACACACACACACACACAACACACACACACACACACACACACACACACACACACACACACACACACACACACACACAACACACACACACACACACACACACACACACACACACACAACACACACACACACACACACACACACACAACACACACACACACACACAACACACACACACACAACACACACACACACACACACACACACACACACACACACACACACACACACACACACACACACCACACACACACACACACACACACACACACAGAATTCTATCTACTTCAATTACAAGTGATGGAAATACTCAATTGGATAATTTATAAGCAAACTAAGCTGCGGTGACATGGAGGTTGTGATAACTAATGAACAGAGCACTCACTGAAAGTCATCATCATCTTATCGAGCTCTTCATCCTCCTCATCCTCCCTGAGAACACACACATAACAAACAAAGATTAACAGCAGTTCAAACCTGTATGAATATATCTGATTTATTTATTCATATATAATGTCATCTATGAGTACCTGGGCAGCGACATTTTTTTTTTTTTGTTCAGTACTTGAGTAAATAGTACCTAAACAAGGACATGAAAGACTCTAACTGATTATTTGTTATCAATCTAATTTGTTTGTTTTAATAAATAAAACCCTGAATATTCACATCCATGTTAAAAGAAAGAAACAATTTCTGATATTTAAGAAGCTGAAAACTGTACATTTTTGCCTCAAAGCAAACTTTAATGATTATAGATTTGGACATGATTCAATAAATAATACTTTTTGGCATTACTATGAGGTTAATGTTCATCGTTAATTTGAAGAGTTTTACATCCACATCAGCTACAAAGTGTATGTGTAAGTTCATGAATAACGGCAGCAAAGTTTACATTATGAGCATTACAAAAACTCAACTCTTCAAAACTGTCTTTTAATGTTTGATTGTTGTTTTATTGCTCGATTTTAATGTGACTTTTACTATATTTATTTGTTTTCCTTTTTTGACTACCTCTGTAAAGCGACGTTGAGCACCTGTAAAAGCGCTTACAAAATAAATGTATTATTATTATTACATTAATTTCTAAGTTTCTCAGCACCACTAACACCCAGTCTCCTCTACTGTAGTTATTACCCACCTGAGTCTGTCCTCATCCAGACCCTCGATTATGGCGTTTCTGTCGTTGACGATCTCCACCAGTTTGGCCATCAGCTGCTCTTCTCTCTTCTTGTCCCGGGAAGTTTTCAGATGTTCTGCTCAAACACAAACACATTTAAATCACAGATGTTTGATACTGTTAGAGCCATTTTTTGTGTTGATAATAAATGTATTATTTTCTAATAATCAGCTGTTATATAAGGAACGGGGAATCGGTCTTTGACCTCAAGTTACACTGATCATTTCTGTTTATTTGATTGTTTAATTTGATGGAAGAAGTAAATAAATCAGCCAAAGGAAGGCAAAGAAATCAGCGCCTACAGAGTTTTATTTGGACTGTTTTTAACGTGTGAGTCAAGAAGCGGAGCCCTGTTAATGTGGCACAGATTGAAATATCCTACAAGAATGAGCCACGACATACTGTAGTCAAAGACTTTCATGTGTTGCGTGTTAAATGTGTTTCCACAAAGGCTCACCTGGTTTCTCCATCAGTCTCCGCAGCTCCTGGTCCACGCTGGGCTGCTCCTCCTCCAGGTCCTGCGTTTTTCCACTACACATAAAAACAACATTTACAATTTCAACGTTGTACCTTTAATCTAAATGTATTTTTTGTGTATGTATGTCTACTCTATGCTATTTTTAGTTTTTTGTTATGTATTTTACTGGTAACTGTATTCTGTGTGATATCCATTTTCTGTGAAATGTCTATGTGAAGCACTTTGAACTGCACTTATTGTATGAAAGGTGCTATACAAATAAAGATTATTATTATTATTATTATTATATAAATTAAATAGTTTATTGTATTTTTTGCTATCTTACAGTACGGAGTAACATCAGCATTTATTTAAGGTCAGGTTTTTGGTCTCTACCAGAAACATTACAAGCAAAAAGAAAAAACCTAACTCTTACCAAATACCCTAACATCAAAAATGATCTAATCCTAACTACATGATGGTGCCACAAAATGAGTTTCACCAGTCAAGACATTGCTCTAAAAATGTGTATAATAAACACACACACATTAAAAAAACTGTTTGTATTTCATGCATATCTGGAATATGCATGAAATACATAAGATGTGTTGTATATGATTCCTATCAATTTTCCTTTAAAATGCCTTGGTAGGAGTAAAGGTTCTAAATTCATTTGAAAATGTAATAATTGCAGTGCGTGTGTGTGTGTGTGCGTGCGTGTGCGTGTGCGTGTGTGTGTGTGTGTGTTCTGATAACAGCATCCTGCTTCCTGACGTCCTGCTGTTGGAGGACACTGGGAATTCAAACTGTCAACCTTCTGGACACAAGTCTGTTTCACTAATCGCTCAATAGTGGCCTTTTCTAAGTGTGTGTGTGTGTGTTTATGTGAGTGTGTGTGTATGTGTGTGAATGTGAGTGTTTGTGTGTGTATGTGTGTGTGTGTTTACTCACATGTAAACCAGTTCTGACTCCCGGCGCATGGCCACCTGCTTGTTCCTGATCAAGTTGAACCACTCGATCATGAGCTCGTCACTGACTGCGTCATCTTCTCCATCTGACACACAAACACACACAGTTAACCCCCGTATACACTCTTTTTCTGAAGCTGCTGTCTGTGTGTGTGTGTGTGTGTGTGTGTGTGTGTGTGTGTGTGTGTGTGTGTGTGTGTGTGTGTGTGTGTGTGTGTGTGTGTGTGTGTGTGTGTGTGTGTGTGTTTTTCTCACCTGCGTCGCTGCTGCGGAGCCTCAACTCCAGCTCCACTCCTCTCCCCTCCCACTCGTTCAGATTATCTTCGATGTCCTGCAGCTCCTTTATGATGTCCTCTTTCTGAATGTAGTCTGGTTTCTTCTACAGATGCAACACACACATGTAAGTGAAGATGTGAACCATAACTTAGATCAACAACTCATGTGACTATATCTTAGTGATCCTAGAGCCTTTAAAATGACATCCTTACATAAGTAAAAGATCATCAGAATAGTACAAAATACACATGAATAAAGCAATAATTCATTGGAAAGGGGGGTTCAAAAATGGTTGGTTTAAAGCTTTTTTTTTTACTTTTGCTTACAATAAGTAGGTAATACAAATGATACCTAATTTATTTCACTCCTTTTTTACCTTTTACAAGCTAGCTTATATATGTAGGCTAACGTAAACTTATATTCCAGCTAGCTTTTAACTAAACGTATTAGTTTTATTCTTAGGAGGCTACATCTGTTGCTAGCTCCTTATTTATGACCATAGACTCTAGTTCTTTACACACATTGAAACACTTCAATTATCTTTAGGAAGCTAACTTTATTAGCATCAGCTTGACGACTAAAATGCTTTAGCTACTGTTAGCCTACAATCGTTTTTACAGTGAAGCTACAGCAGTACTATTCATTACAGTACATTCAAGATGTACAGTCACTGTTTCAAGGTGTCAAATTCTAATGACTACATTTGACTGAACAAAAACAAGGGATTGCGTTGAAAAGCATATGCTGTGTTCGGGACAAGTATCTTCTTAAAATATTACTGACAGCCAGCAAAAAGGCAATTACCAAAAAATGGCTTGTGAAAGATCCGCCAACAAACGGAGAATGGATAAACATTGTAAATGACTTGTTTCGTGTGGAGAGGCTGACTTTTTCTCTAAGACTCTGTAGTGAAAAATGTGACAATTACAGTACTGGTCCAAATGGGTTTTGCACATGAAGAGGGGGGGTCACATAACCCTGAGATAATTCTTTTATTTTGCTTTACTCCTTTTGGTACAATAGTCTATCATTCTTGCATAACTTTGCTACTACTGTATGTTTCACACAGATTTGTTGTGAACCCGTTGTGAGGGAGATCTTCCCATATCACAAGAATAATTGCTGAGAACATATTGATGATGTATTACCCCAGTGACCTGTATGTTGGATGTTATTTGTAGTTTCCTTTGTAATGTCTTAACAACTTAAAAAAAAAGTATAAAAAGCATTTGCTAACTTATAGGTAATAAGCTAACTTAAAGGGGACCTATCATGCAAAATGCACTTTTGTACGTCTTTTATACATGAATATGTGTCCCCGGTGTTCCAGGGAACTCACCAAGTGTCAGAAAACACAACCCTCTCTATTTTCCTCCATACCCAAATCTCTAAAAAAGGGGCTGCAACGGATCTGATAAAAACTGATCCAGATTTGAACACTGTCCTGACGTCAGGACGGTGGCGCTACGGCTATTGGGCCAACTCCACCAATCAGGAGGAGACAGCCACGGCCATTGCCGTTCGAAAGCACTGGAGACGCTGTAGTACATATGCCAGGCCTCTAGATGGTGCTGTTGCTCACAGAATCAGCCCTTGCTAAAACAGATCTAACATTTTTCAAATTGAGGGAAATGAGGCATGGCTAAAATGCATGATCTGTTTGGTATTTTGAAAAAAAAAAAGTATAAATATGCCTTATATAGGTATGGTCCTACACGATATTATTCAAATATAGCATGATAGGTCCACTTTAAACTTACCTTGGTAATCATGGACTCAGGCTTGGTGCCATTTGTAGTGAGGCCTTTCCCATTCAGGAATCCTATAAAATGAGATAAAAGCAACAAATAATTGTAAAACAAAGAACAAACGAGGGGGGAAACTTTAAGAGGTATGATTCCTTTTTGTCTTTGTTTGTGTCTTTTTGGAAGACGATTTGCAGCAGTTACATTACTTGGGAATAAGATAAAACAAATATGTTGTTTCTTTGTCTAAAATCATATGTATGTTACCACATTACCCTTTTCTGCAGGTGGAGTGACAGAAATGCTGGTGGTGGACAAATGAGAGGAGGGAGACGAATCTGAAGTCTGAGGTTTTCCAGCTCCATTAGCCAAGGGTTTAGAGGGCTGTGAGGGAGCAGCAGGTCTGTGGGTGGAAGAATAAATAAACAGAAATTAATTAGTTGATCTGCTCCTACAAGTAGTCTCCTTTCTGCGGGTTTGATTCATGAGAGTGGGAGGAAACGTCATCCGGGGGAAAGAAGCTGAGCACTGAGCATATGTCGCTCCACGGAGGACTCGAATCAGTGTCGACACCATTTGGGCTCGCATGCATGTGGCGGAAGAAAACAGGCCGAAAGCTACGACTACAAAATATGGTCGAGACATTTGGAGGAGCAGCAGGTTCAGGCTTCCTGCAGGAGGGGAAGGTCGGGAGGATGGATGAGAGACAGGATCAAAGGATGGATGGATGGACAGGACATCAGGGGAGGAAAGAGATGGTGGTGTGTTGTGAGGCCACACACAAACAGAGCAGGAACTGAGCCAGCAAGGGGAAGGATAAACAAGAAACATATCATGTGAGGGCAACACAAACAAAATGTTAGTAAAATAAGTCTTACTTGGAGACGGGTTTGAGCTTCAATCTCCAGTCTGAAGGCGACTCACTGTTTTCTGATGCTAATGAGAAAAAGGAAAAAACAATCTTTAGAGTTTTTCATTTCCTGGTTCATTTCCTTCAGAGTCATATCCATTATGCAATGTCCTTTCCTATCTTTTATTGTTTTGGATGGATTTTCCACAAAAAGCAGGTCGAATTCAGGGTAAAAGGAAAGTAAAAGGTCCACATGAACTTAAAGCAAATTGTACCCTAAAACATAGTTTAACAAAAAGGAGCATCTTTACGAAAGAAGGCTTCATTTAGGTATCATTGAAACTCAATGCAATACAAATGAACATTTTCTGATGAAGAAGCCATTAAAAATGATAATGGTTGATCAATGTTAGATTGAACCTCCTTGTGTGTGTGTGTGTGTGTGTGTGTGTGTGTGTGTGTGTGTGTGTGTGTGTGTGTGTGTGTGTGTGTGTGTGTGTGTGTGTGTGTGTGTGTGTGTGTGTGTGTGTGTGTGTGTGTGTGTGTGTGTGTGTGTGTGTGTGTGTGTGTGTTACCAGAGGGTGATGCACTGCGGGGTTTTGAGGCAGGTCTCTCTGGGGTTCTGGTTCTGACGGGGCTCGGGTCTTTGGGGATAAGCAGGTCAGCGAGGATGGAGGGGTCGGCCTTCAGCCTCCGTCTCCCTCTCACAGGCTCCGGATCTTTCTTAGGAGTTTCCACCTGAGGAGGCCTGAGGAGAGGTGAAGAGCAATTAAAGGAAATTATATTTTTCACCAGTAGAGGTCAGGGTAAAGCAAGACAATATAAAGACTAGTCATAATTATTTTGGTCAATATTGAGATCACTACTTTTTAAATGTCTTTCTTTAAGAGGGGATATTTGATGTTTAAAAGTGATTTGACTGCAAAAACAAATGTGTATTTATTTTTTTGTAAAATAATTAAAAATAATTGGAAATAAAAAACATTCTAAAATAAAAGTTCACCAATAAAGCATAAAAAAAAACATTTTAAAGTGTGACATTTTAAAAACAATCATTAGAAATAGACATGTTTGGATTATTCATATTTTTTGTATTCATATTTATGTTTTATTTGATATATTATTATATTTAAAGTTCAAGGGGGAAAAAGGCTATGCTTCCTATGTGTTGTTACTTTAGTGCACTTCCACAACCTGCTGAGAACTACTTAATGAGAACTACATAAATATTCAATATATAACAAAACATTTATTATTATTTTCATGTCATTTTTCTATATTCAACATATTCTAGTCAGTAACTCAGGGAAAACAGGTTAGGGTGCGCTTGAAGACAAAAAGAGAGCATAATTGCTAAACGAAGTGTGTCACTATAATCTTGTTGTCGCATTTTGATTATCTTGTTTTCATTATCATCATAATTGAAAATAAATGTGTGTGTGTGTGTGGTTACATTACTTACTTGTCAGTTTTCTTCAGCGCTACATTGGTCCATGCTGGCTTACTGGTGTTGTTGTTGTTGTTTTCCTCTGTTAGTTTTTTGGAGATGATGGCAGCTGCTGCTGCTGCTGCTGCTTTAGTCTTTGAATCTTCTCCTCCACTAACTGCTTTAGATTTCTCCTCTGTATCCCAGCTCACATTCGCCACCTTTTTACCCAAACCTCCAACATTCACCACCACGGTGACGGCCTGCGCTGCCGAGGCCTTCTCCTGCACCTTATCGCTCGCATTCGGCCCTTTGTTGATGACGATGCTGGTGGTTACAGTCTTTTTCTCTTCTTCTTTAGGAGGGCTATCTGATTTGAAGAAGTTGAGCTTGGACTTCAGCGTATTTGCCACCGTTGTGGATTTTCGAGGAGCAGCAACGGGCCTTGTGTTATCTGATGTTGTTGTGGTAATAGACGGTGTCGTGATGCTAGACGGTGTTATTGTGATGATAGCTGGTGTTGTTGTGTAGATTGAGGTGGTTGTTTTGTTGCTAAACTGTGTCTTTGTGCTACTAGATGTTGATGTGTTGTTGCTAGACGGTGTCGTGTTGATAGACGTTGTTGTTTCGTTGCTAGACGGTGAATTTGTGTTAAAAGACACTGTCGTTTCGTTGCTAGACGGTGTCGTTGAGAATATAGATGTTGTGGTTTTGTTCTTAGATGGTGTTTTTGCAAACATAGACGTGGTTGTTTTGTCGCTAGACGGTGTCTTTGTGTTGATAGACGTTGTCGTTTTGTCCGTAGGCGGTGTCGTTGTGAATATAGACGTGGTCGTTTTGTTGCTAGACGGTGTCTTTGTGCTACTAGATGTTGATGTTATGTTGCTAGATGGTGTTGTGTTAATAGACACTGTCGTTTCGTTGCTAGACGGTGTCGTTGTGAATATAGACGTTGTCGTTTTGTTCTTAAATGGTGTTTTTGCAAATAAAGACGTGGTTGTTTTGTCCGTAGACGGTGTCTTGGTGTTGATAGACGTTGTCGTTTTGTCCGTAGACGGTGTCTTTGTGTTGATAGACGTTGTCGTTTTGTCCGTAGACGGTGTCTTGGTGTTGATAGACGTTGTCGTTTTGTCCGTAGACGGTGTCTTGGTGTTGATAGACGTTGTCGTTTTGTTCTCTGATGGTGTTGTTGTAAATATAGACGTGGTCGTTTTGCTGCTAGACGGTGTCTTTGTGTCTTTGTTCGTGGTCGTTGTGGCGAAGGTGGACACATTTGTAGTCCGTGAGGCCGCAGGTTTGGAGACAACAGGTGTCGGGGTCTCTTTAGCAGCAGAAGAGAGATTCAAAGCAGGCCGGGAAGGAGACGAAGAAGAGAAAGTGGTGGAGATGCTGGGAGGGGGGCTGGGTTTCTCCGTCAGCCACGATGGTCCCAATCTGGAGGGAGTATTAGTCGGAGGAGTTGGATTAGTTGTATGAGTTCGGTAGGTTGGAGGAGTTGAAGGAGTTGGATCAGCTGGAGTAGTTGTACGAGTTCGATAAGTTGGAGGAGTTGGATCAGCTGGAGTAGTTGTATGAGTTCGGTAAGATGGAGGAGTTGCAGGAGTTTGAGTTGGATTTGTTTTATGAGATCGGTAAGATGGAGGAGTTGAAGGAGTTGGAGGTGTTGCACGGGTTTGAGTTGGAGGACTTGAAGGAGTTTTGTGAGCTCGGTAAGATGGAGGACTTGAAGGAGTTGTGTGAGCTCGGTAAGATGGAGGAGTTGAAGGAGTTTGATGATTTGGAGGCGTTGGTTTGGTTTGGGCTGGTTCTAATAACGCCGTGAATCTGGAAACAGGAGTGTTTGGGGGTCTGAACGGTGCAGTGGGGTTTGTAGGCGACATTGCCCTGAAACACAGAAAAACATTGCATGTCATTTCTGGCCAATCAGAGTTGGTGCCATTTAGGGCTGCCCCTTCTTATTAGAGTAACTGGTGGTTGACTAATTTTTGTAATGCTTTATTCATGATTAATTACTTATTACCAAGAAACCTAAACATCTCTGTTAAAAATAAGATTCAAGTGATGCTTTTGATTGAATCTTTGTTGAGAAACTCGGTATTACAGATTGACAAAATCACATAAGTGTAAATAAGACTTGAATTAACATGGGTCCTTACTTTGCACAGTGCCTGTGATAGAGCTTCCCGGCCACTAGGTGTCGCTGCACCAGGTGAACATGCTGGTTGCAGGACGCACACTTGTTGCTTAAGGTGCTTGTCTGATGAGATTTCTCCACCACAACATCCTGGAAGAAGGAGACAGAGGTTTCAAGAGGTGATGTTGTAAGTTATCTGAGGCAATACGTTTTGTTTAGCTTTGCAGCAGCAGTTTCGTAGAGCTGCTCAAATGTGTATTTTGGGCCGTCTTGCATTAGTCTTAAAACATTTGTACACTTTCTGGACACTCTTAGTAACGCTTGTATACTATATTCAGGCAGCAGATGTTACCTTTGTGGTATTTCTGGTCTGTCTCGGGGAGGACGAGGGCCGTGTGATGTTGGCGGAGGGTGGAGGGCTGTTCTCTCTGGCCGGTTTGGAAGATGGAAACACCTTCGCCACCACCGGCTGGTTCTTCTTCCCAGACGGTTCGCCTGAGGGGCCGTCTGAGGGGCCGTCAGCCGGGCGCTTTATACCTGCCAAACCCCCGACTGAAACACAGAATAACAGAGACACACAGTTTGTACAAGTGTGCAATCACTTACTGGAGGTCTGCCAGAGAACCACTTTGGAATAGTTTGAATTTTATGCCATTTTATTCATTAATTTATTATCATTTAGTATCTTGTGTTTTCTTTTCCCGTTACATTGTCATTCTTTAATTGTCCTGAAAGAGGACAGAGGAGGCAGGAGGGATATTGGGATGAACCCCCGGAGTCAGGTGAGTCAGCAAGAAGGGAGCAAAGTTCATTCCTTTAGACCCTGTATATTTCAAACTTTAATTTGGAGCAATTTGCCGAGCATTTATACGCTTCTAAAAATACAATTACAGCATAGGCTGCCCTCATGTTTCCTCACTACCCTATCCTCTGGAAGCCTCCCCTCTCCTCACTTCCTCTGCAGGCATTTAATGAATTGGATATCAGAACCCACTTTCAAGTAAAGGGAATGAGGAAAGAGGATAGAGGAGTCGAGGAGGGATATTGGGCTGAACCCCTGGGGTCGGATGAGACAGAAAGACAAGAACAAAAGGAACAAAGGAACAAAGGCGGCGTCGGCCACACAGAGAAACTGATACTCACTGGGGGAGCGTCCATGGAAGAAGTTGTAGTACTGCGACACGTATGTGAGGATACTGAGGCGGTCAGGAACTTTAAGGGCCACCATGTCGTCTGCATCCAACAGCGCTGGAATTCCCAACTCCTCCGCGACCCTGAACGCCTGCAAATATCATCGACTTTATCCAACAAGACAGAGGAAGCTCAGGGTGGATTTTAAGTATCTTGAGCGAGCGGCCAAAATGGAAATGGAATAATAAATCACATAAGAAGCAGATATCCTCATGAGACTTCCTGTATCTAAACACACTTACTATCAGATATTCAAAGCATGTTTGTATTGTGAGTTCATGTTTGGGACTGTTAGTGTTCTAGATAATGTTCTCTTTATAATTTCTATTTCAGCTTTATTTGACCAGTCTTCTATAAGAATCAGGGTATCTTATTATTGGAAGATGTTGTCCAAAATCAGTGTGTTTTACACTAAAGAAAGCAAGAGTGCCAATATATGTTTGCCTATGTTTAATATGTTTTTTAAATATATTCTTTTTACCTATTTGAGTGCCTGTGATGTTAGATGTGCATCCTATGGATTTGAACGTGTATGATGAAAAAAGATAAAACATATGACTTATTATTAATCACAAAGTATATTCTTATGCCAACGACTGCTTAAAATTGCAACAACATAAGAATTAAGAATGTGTTTTAGGTTTTATTTCTTTGAGATTACATCTACATCTGCAAGTGCTAACAGAGAAAGTGAGTCAGGAATTTCCAAGCTAGATCCACATTCATTGATTCCATGGAAGCAGAAATAAACAACAAGTAGAGGCAAGTCGACGTGCAGCAGAGGCACGACATAGTCAGTAATCAGACGATCCAGAGAGCCATAAAAACACGGTTTACTCTGCAAAAGTCTTACAGCTCATTGTTGTTTTGGTCTAATCAGTTTTTTCAGCTACAATCCTGACTTGTGACAAATAATGGCTGCTCATTTAGGCTTTATTCCATCTCACTTTGAAGAGCAGCCGCAGAGTTCAGAGTCCAGTAATAAATCTACAGGGAGAAACTGAAAGTAAGAATGCAATGAAGCCGCCAACGACAAAAAGCACAGACTGAAACACTCTATATTTGGCCACGGGTTCTCCTCTCTGCTATGTTTGAACAATGACTGTTTTTGAAAATTCCCTGTTACCTCACATTAAATGGTGCTCATGCAATATCAGAGTGAACAAGCACGATAAGGCCAAATGTTGCAAGTAACAACTAGAGAGTGCATTGTAATGGTATCACTCCAGCCAAATTAAGACAGGGGCGTAAAGTGTGTGTGTGTGTTGTGTGTTGGGTGTTGGGTGTGTTGTGTGTGTTGTGGGTGTTGTGGGTGTTGTGGGTGTTGTGTAGGGATGGGTTGTGTTCAGCCATTCTGTTCACAGTTCTGTCATCAGATTATTTAATATGATTTGTTAAAACGTTGTTGTTTCTGTTGATGTGAAATATTATGTATTTCATTTAAATAAAAAGCAATGTTAGTTTTGTTCACAATTTGTTAATTTTCATTTAATCGTTTATTTGAATAGGGACAATGCACATTAATGAACACTTTAGACAAATAATGCTTCAAGTAGGGTGACCAGGTGCCAGAAAGCCACAAGTGGGACAGAGAGTATGTTTGTGTGGGACAATGTGGGACATGTAAATGTAATGTTGACGCATGAACTGTCAACGGGGGGGTACACTGTGGACCTCTGTCGCCTGTCAGCGCAACTTACATAATGCCGTTTAAAACATATCATAATGGGCGGTGCCGGCCGTCAGCGAACCGAGCTGGCCTTTCTCCGCAGAAAAGCGTTTTGGCCAATCAAAATGAAATATGCGGGACATCGTCTCAATTTGCGGGACGCACCAAAAGTCGTGAAAATGCTGTGCAGTCCCGCGCAAAGCGGGACATCTGGTCACCCTAGCTTCAAGTGTAAATATGCCGGATTTTAGCTTTGAGCTAATTTCCATCCGTCGTCCCTGACATACAACATATAGTTAGTTTACCTCATTTTTCTCTCCAAAAGAACCGATAAGAGTACCGTTAAAAGACCGGACCGATAAGCGGTATCGATAAAAGTAGTAGTACCGTTAAAACCTTAACGATACCCATCCCTAGTGTTGTGGGTGTTGTGGGTGTTGTGGGTGTTGTGGGTGTTGTGTTGTGTTGTGTTGGGTATTGGGTGTTGGGTATTGGGTGTTGGGTGTTGGGTGTTGGGTGTTGGGTGTTGGGTGTTGGGTGTTGGGTGTTGGGTGTTGGGTGTTGGGTGTTGTGTGTTGTGTGTTGTGTGTCGGGTGTTTTGTGTTGTGTGTTGTGTGTTGTCTGTTGGTGGTCTTGGGGCAATGGCACATTCCCTAATTCCAGCCTTTGGGACTCAACATACATTTTTATCTGGACTAAACATCTGTTTTCTGAATGCATCTTGTTGGATTGTGACGCCATTGAGATGAAACATTCTGACGGGCAGACTGACTCACAAGCTGAAAGCAATACCAGCAGGTAAGTCGTTTTTATAATAAATAGATTATAAAATAGCCTTTGAGATTGATTTATTCCATCGTTTAGTCTATAAACCTGTATACATGCATTCAACAATTGTGTGCATATTTTCAAAGCCAAAGTATATAAAATCCGAAATCATCAATGTTTACGAGTTTGCAGTATTCTTCATTGCTTTTGTGGGCACATTGCAGTATATCCATGCATGTTACCACCACATGATGATGTGAAATTGTTGGGAGGACTGCGTGTCGTCTCACTCAAGATAAACATCACCCGCACCTACTCGTAAACAAACAGCTCCATATCGCTAAAAGGGGATGAAAAGTCAACAGGGAACCTTAAAGTCAGAATGAAAACATCTAAAAATCATATTTAGGTGTTTCTTTTACAAACTTTGTCTATCTGCATCTGCAAAATTCTCCTGAATACATCAAAAGTTTGTATTAGAAAGCCTCATTGGCATATTTAAACCTAATATTAGAGAAAACAGGTAATAAAAAGGATTATAATAGGGCCCCTTTAAAATGTAAATGTTTACCCTATCCACCTGCTGTGTTTCTCCTTACGAAATACATTGAAAGGTCAAAATGCAGAGTGTAAACATGTCTCACCAGTTTGTTGTTTTCATAAACATCCTCCTTATTCAGTGAATCAAAGTTTCTGCAACAGAGGAAGAAGGATAATATGTTACAAACACATGATTCGCTTCCTCCTTTATTTGTTTACCATCAGTGTAGACATAAACATGTATAATATAGGCATACACACACCTCAGATAAACATATATATAACACTGACAGGGTGACTGATGACTTCTTTACACACGGCTGCGGTGACACATGATCTCATGTCAGTTTGTCATGCAGCTGAAACGTACATGAAGATCAGCCAGCATTCATAAAGGAGCATGTCTAAATTCAGTGAACCGAAGCAAAGCCTTAAACCAATGTTTCATACTATGCCCATGTAAACATGAAGTGTACCACGCTCATCTGGCTGTGAGGAAAACGTGGAGTGGAACAGCTCTGTGTCTTCTTCAAATTAAACGACTGTGTGTCCGTCCTAATGGCTACTCTGGAACAAAACCAGGCAACTCTGTGTGAAACTGGACAAAGATTTACTAGAGTTGATCGGTCAAATATTTGGAATATTTAAGCCAAAGCCTAATGTGGACATCTCTGGAAACATCTGTACAGCTGTCAAGTAATAAATATTCCCAATATTCCCCTGTTAGGTTTCAGAAAGTCCAGGGAAAACCCAGAGGAAATGTCCTGTCAAACACTAAATTCCAAAGCTTCAAACTGAAAGGATGTTTAACACACAGACAACGTTATGAGATACCATGCAACTTTTATTTTCAGTTTTGAGTGCACATACAAAACTGAAACTATGAGTCGATGAACTGATTTGTCAATAGAAGGAAAATCACATTTCTTAAACATTTAAAACACATGTGAAGCAAGAATTGCCAAACATACACCACTTCCTGCTTCTATTGTTGTATAATGAATATCTTTGGGTTTCACACTTGACTTAAAGACATCAAGTGCTCTGGAAACTTGTGAAGGACGTTTTACCCTACTGTATATTCTGACATTTCTTTTAACAAAGCTTAACAAAATAATAATCATCTTAATGAATCAACAGCAGCTATCAACCCTTAACTGAATGACACTTTATGAACAGCAGAAGTGTGTGCTACTTTGATTTACACTACAAGAACAAACACATACAAATAAATGTTTTGGGAAAACAACAAGTCAGGTCTGAATCAATATTCCTGTCAACTACAAGGCTGTGAATGCTGATTATTATAAGTGTTTTTTTTAATGTTGCATGTTCTTTCAGGCCTATAGTATTCAAGATATGTTATTGAAGCGAATAAGTATTTATGCTTGATTGAATGCCAAGCATTGTCAAACTAGTAATTTCCTATCTTGAATATTAGTGTGACGACACAGATCAGACCACAAAAATTAAGACACATGTCTTTCACAATAAGTACATTTCAGTGTTGAGTATCACGAAGAGATCAGCCTGTACAGATTTAATTCTCACGTCGTGTTGTTGTTTGAGTCTGACTGCCTTCTTTATTATAAATACTGAGGAACAGGATGGACCAGGATGAATTAAATGTTTGATCGCCTTTGTCAAGTAAGCTGTGAGGTCAAAATGAAATCTGTCCTGATGTTAAAACATGCAGACTTTACTCCCACTAGTGTCCCAGCTGATCTCCACAGCCCTCAGCTGAGCTCCTGCTCCTGTTTTTCCTGCAGACCAATAAAGTGTGTTCCCTTTCATTAAAGAACTGCACAAACCTACAATAAAGCTGGAAAGTAAAACCAATGTCCCTCTTCTTCTCTAAACAGTTGTCAAACACCCTAACTCAAACAGCACCAACCTGCTTGTTAAGGTGTGTTTAGGAAAACTTCACCCATTAGTTTCCCTCTTTGTTACTCACATGAGATCGGGTCTGTGTTTGTGTATCAGGGCACAGAAAGCCATGCCACTCCTGAAGGAGGTGGTCATGTTGGTGATGGTCACATCCCGGTATCCTTCGCAGCGGACCCGACACCACTGCTGCAGAGCCTTCACGGCCGACATCCCGGAGCTCAGAGGCGGACTGATCCGAGTTCGAGTGCTGCAGAGCGGCTGTAGATCTCCCGGAGCTCCCCCACTCGTTCCTCCCTCCTTCCCTTCAACAACACACTGCTAAAAAGTTTCCACAGCAGCTTGGACACGCTGGATCCAGGAAATGACAGACGGAGAGCCAGGACTCTGCGTGAGTGTGTGTGTGGGAATCACCCTTTTGCGTCTGAGGAGAAACTGGATGTGACACCTGCGAAAGGTTGACAGTGACGCGGCATATGGGTGGCGTTCAGTCCGCTTTGTGTGTGTGTGTGTGTGTGTGTGTGTGTGTGTGTGTGTGTGTGTGTGTGTGTGTGTGTGTGTGTGTGTGTTCATGCAGACTAATCACAGAGCCATAGATAAGACTTTGGAGAGAACATGAGTCCAATTTACTCTGGACATTTTAATTACAGCCACTCAAAAAAGTCTGTTCTTTTTATAAAACGTTAACAAAATATTACTGTTTGGTTCATTTCATCTTTATACACAAAGTTATAAACGCTGCTTCTGTTGGAAACTTTTTTTATTTTATTCCAATTTTTCTTTTTTTGTCCATCTGGCACATTTAACTTGTGAATGGTGAACCACAAAGAATACCACAGCCTTTAAAAGAAAGAATAAAAACCCACCCACCCACATGTAATTTGAGCACAATTAAGTCATGTAAGCTCCTTGAAAAAAGAAACCTCTCAGAAGCAAAACTAAGGTCTATATCCTCCAGTTTCCTGCTAAATAACCTCCAAAACAATAAGTTACCATGACATGCTTACACTGTATTAAAGGGAACATGTCATATGTATTTAATGATTTTAACAAGGAGCTATTTTGGTAAATGTAGTATAAAGGTAAGTGAAACCAGTTAACCAGGTGTGGTTGTTTCTTGAGTGAGTCGTCCTGTCCTGTCCTGTCTGCGGGGCGTTTCAGTCACCTGACACCTGCTCACGCTTTGTTCACAAACAGCAGCCGACAGCACCGTTTTCTTTTGCTGAGTCAGTTTCAGATATACTTTCTGTGCTTTGCTTCACTGTCGTCAAAAGTGTGTTTCTTGTCATGTTTAATTCTCTGTTTGTTAAAGGAGTGATCTGTGGATTTGAGATCAATTACGTGGAAGGTTTAAAGGTCAAGGTATATGAAAAAGTGAGTTACAGGTGCTGATAGCACCACCATGTGTCATCACAACACAAACACACATGTTATATAAACATGAACAATTACTATACATTATACTTAATTCAGCTGACACTTTTATCCAAAGCTACTATCAATAAGTGCAATAAATCATGAGGATGTATTTCATAAGAGCCACATTTTTTCCACAATGTTGAACAGTTTTTGTATAATTCTTTTAAATGTTCTCTACATTTACATTATAGAAGTTGAGTGTTACACAGTGATGTCACTATATTCAGGAAGTAAACAAAGGAGTTCAATGAAGGTGTTTCAGGCAGGGGGGGAGTGTGTTGGAGAGAAACTCCCTCTGGAGCAGGGGTGTCAAACTCAAATACACAGTGGGCCAAAATAAAAAAAATGGGTACTAGTCGAGGGCCGGACTGGTTCAATGTTTATTGCAAAACTTATTGAAATTAACTCATTGCACATATTAAACCTGGAACTAACAAAGCTTAAATGATTGCCTATAAAAACAACATTAAATAATCAGTTGCATTCATTTCTTACGGCTCTATCTGCAGCTTTTCCGGAGTCATTTCTCATGATTACATTTTTCCACAGGCCAACAATAGCTTCAAAAAAACTATTTCCCTAAAAGAAAAAACCAAACATGCCCTGTTGTCTCAAGAAAAAAAGTGCAGAAGGAAACATCCATGTAAACTCAGTTTGCTGCTCTGTGATGTAGTTCAAGCCAGATACTTGGCATCTCATCTTGGGTGCAAGTTCATCAATGTTTGGGGTCAGGCTCTGAGCTGAGGAGACCCTCAGGATTGAGTGAAGGTGTGCGTGCAATATACCGGCGGGCCAGATCTAATAGGAATTTAAAATTATCCTGCGGGCCGAAATTAAATCCACCAAGGGCCTGATTTGGCCCCCGGGCCTTGAGTTTGACACATGTGCTCTGGAGGAAACACAGGGATTTTAGCCTCTGCAGACCATTTACATGCACTAAAACCTATAACACACTACAGGAAACCCCCCGAAACATAAAAGGGCCTCTTTAAATTCTACAGAGGGCTGTGTTTTAGCGTCTTTGAGCTTTTTTCTTAATTTTGGTCACTCTCTGTTCTTGTGAACTCTGCATCGAGCTGAAGAAGTGATCAGGCTGAAATGGATGTGCCAACTTAACAGTGACCATCACATCTTAGTCCACATGTTAATGAATCATCATCTTCCTCTCTTATGTCAGGGGTCAAACTATTTTATTCTATATTTACACGAAAATCAGATGTTCATCATCCACACACCCAACGAACGCTGAGTTAAAGCTTCTGTCGGTTGAGCGGAGATTACTGTACTTTCAGACCAATGAGCAAACAATGATAAGAGCTTTAGTTTGCAGAGCGCACGCACGCACGCACGCACGCACGCACGCACGCACGCACGCACGCACGCACGCACGCACGCACGCACGCACGCACGCACGCACGCACGCACGCACGCACGCACGCACGCACGCACGCACGCACGCACGCACGCACGCACGCACGCACGCACGCACGCACGCACGCACACACACACACAACACACACACACACACACACACACACACACACACACACACACACACACACACACACACACACACACACACACACACACACACACACACACACACACACACACACACACACACACACACACACCACACACACACCACACACACACACACACACACACACACCACACACACACACACACACACACACACACACACACACACACACACACACACACACACACACACACACACTGCTTTAGTTAAACGAAAGAGAAAATATCGAAAATAGAAAGCAAGATTGAGAAAAGTTAATCTGATAACAGAGTTAATATGTGACTGGTTGTTTGATTTGTGCTTTCACAGAGCTGCAGTCGTCACCACGCCTTTAAAGAGGGGCAGGTGTGGAGGCCAAGTGTAACACGGACTGAACAAATGACAGAACCTCTGTTTTCCCATGTGCATCATTTTGACTAGTACAGTATGTTTCCATGTCCACACAGTATGTATCCGATCAATGACTCAAATCTAGCTTTAATCACAAACCTAACAAAGGTTTATACCTGTAAACAAATAACTCAGGCTTAAAAAAACTGGTTTTCCTAAGAATATAAGGAGCACACACCCTTTAAAGAGGCCCTTTTGGGGTTTTCCAACTCCTGTAGTGTGTTATATACTGTAGGTTTGTGTGCATGTAAATGGTCTGCAAAGGCTAACATCTCTGTGTTCCCTCCTGAGAGAAGCAGAGCCGGCCAGCTAACCAATCAGAGCAGACTGGACTCTGGTTTCAGACAGAGGGTGAAAAGAGGTGCTGTAGCACAGGCAGTGTGAGAACAATAAAGAGCTTTTTGAACATTAGAGCTGGGAGACGTGTCCCAGTAGAGACACTACATACTGATATGAACCTGAAAGGAGCATCTGTCCTCTTTAAAGCTGTAGTTTGTGTTGTTGAACTGTTTTTGAAACAAACCCCATTTAAAAAAAGCCCCCAGACAGTAAACGAGAGTAACAATCAGACAATGAAGCTGCTTTTTTATGACCCCTAAGACTCTGTTGCACAATAACCATCTGTTAAAAATAAGTACAATCAAATTTCATGCCAGAACAATGTGTAACAGAAATGCATTTTACAGCATTTCATGAAGCTTTTAGCAGGAAATGAGCTGCATAAATACGGGACAACACGCAACTTTAGCATGCCCGGAAACAAACAATGTGCCAACAATTGTTTTTTCTTAAAAGAAATTCCAACCCTGACTCTTAATCACTATTTCCTTTTAAATGTGATCCATTCCTCCCACACAGGCATCAGGAGCATGTTCAGTCTAATGCAGTGAATCCCCTCAAAGTCCCATGAAGTCCCTCTTTCCCTCTGCATGCCGACCATACAAACACCCCCCACACACAAATACTTAATCCTCCCAAATCCAGACAGGAAATGCCCCCGTCAGTAGAGCAGAATGCTTTTGACTGACCCCCGCTGCTCTTTCTCTTCCTCTCTCTCCTCCCTCCCCCTCCGCTTGATGATATAGTGCCTCCACAAACCTCCATCTGGAAACAGTTAGCCTGTGAACGTTTGCACAGAGCCAAAAAAAACATCACGTCTTTCGCAGGTCTATCAGCACTGCAGGATAATTCACTCACTATCAGAGGGTGTGTGTGTGTGTTCGTGTGTGTGTATGTGTGTATATGTGTCTGTGTGTGTATATATGTGTGTGTGTGTGTGTGTGGGGACAATCAAATGCTTGTTTGGTGTTATGACTCATGAGAAATTGCACTTTCTCTCAGAGTTCACAGCTTGTTTTCTGGTTAGTTTCTATGGAGAGCAGCACTTAACAAGACGCTTAGGCTGCGAACATGCATCGGTCACAACTGAAGTCACAAAACTCCTCACACGGTCAGCTAAACAGACGTCTTTGTGGACTAAGTTGTGAATAATTATTCCTTGCTTTCCCACAAAATGGATTTAGTTACCATATGTTTCCATCCTCTACCACCTGCAAAACACTTTATGTTTGCAGCGTATTTTTATAGAATGCTAACAAACTGTTGAAAAGAATGCAGTTACCATATTGAAATGTATGTCCAAAATAAAATAAAGAATACAACCCTTCACACAGCCAGCTAAACAGAAGTCTATGAGGACTTAATTGTATATATTAGTATATTCAATGAGCCCATTTTACCAAAAATCCATGAACTCTTTTCACATTCATCCTCCACTACATATGTTTTCAGTACATACAAAAAAAATGCTAACTCCCTGTTTCAAAAACACAATTAGATCAACACTGTTGCAATTTTTTCAACAAAGTTATTTTGTTTAAGTATATGCAAAGATTTAAAAAAGTGTTATAAGTCAGTGGGTTACAATGTGTTTACTGTCGTATGCTGGGAAAAATGTGGAGTACAAACTTTAAAAGTGTTGTTTAATGGTTGTTTAAGTGACTTTTGGAGGTCAGATTAGCTGGTTAAGATGGCAATGCAGACCATATGAAGAGTTTTAAAAAGTGGCTTGAGTTTAACCCAATCTGTTTTAGACAATTT